CAACCACTTGCTCCAGTGAGCGACCGCGAATACCCAAAACTCTGCCCCTAACCTCAGCATTGCCTAAGCGGCTATCCCACCAGATTCGTGCAATGCTGCGTAGACAGCGGTGTTCAAACACCGACAGTCTATCTTTATCCTGTTTTCTTAATGGTCAAGTTTCTGTCCCATATAGCAGGACTGGCCGAACTGTCGCGACGGCGCCACAGATGTCTTAAGTTGGCAAATGCCAACCGAGCCTTCTGTATGCGAGCTGACACAGCATCCGTGATGGTGGGTAAATTGGGCGTACGGGAACGACATGGTGATGCACCAATCAGATCGCGTCCTTGACACTCCGATTGGTGGATCGGAAGACTGCGATCCAGAGTCGACTCGCCTTTGCGTCGCGAGCGCGCTTGTGGTGTGACGCGGATCTGTTTACGGCTTTACAGGTGCACTATCCTAACACTATTTTCTTCAGAATTCGCATTTGCCTTACGGTTACTTGTGGGTAATGGTGTGTGGTAGTTGATATTGGTCTTGACTATCTATCGTTTAGATTTCACACTTACGCATAATCCTCAGTTCATCCAGTCAGGAAAACACACTCAGGAAAACACTGGACTCGAGTTTTTCGTTGAAGCTCATTAGTAGTGCATATCGCCCGCCTCGTACGGTATTTGAACTATGGGCCCGTTGATGGGAAGAAGTGTGTCAAACAGCTCGATTTTGTTGGCAATAAGCAACATGTCGTATGTGGCTATCAAATACAACGCAAAGGATTTTGAATGCTGGATTGTCATGAGAAAACTCAAGCTGATCCCAGCAAACGGTCCCAAGTCAACGCTAAATGAAAGAGCGTCTGTGAGGAGATTCTAGATAACGCACTAAACTGGTTTATAAAATGGTTGGTATTGAATGGGAAGCTGGTGCAAAGCAGTGCAATTTACAGTACGCTGCTCATATCGTTGGTGTGTCGAATGAATGGAAAGATAGGCAAAAGCACACTTGACAAATTTTCCATTTCTGTAACTTTATTTGATGTGTGCTTTGCACCGTCAAAGTGATACAGCAAGACTGAGTATCGTCTATCTGGGCTCGAATGTTTCATGTTCAGGAATTCGTTAACTGATTGCTTCTCCCACACGGGTAATGACGTGACAAATGACGCTAACAGTAAACGAAGTAACCGTTCAAAATTTCCAAGACACGGGCAGCGTACGCAAGACCGAGACGTATGGCAAGTTGACATGTTACCTTGATATTAAAAGGTCGCGTATATTGTGTCACTGTGTGGTCAATTCTGCTTTACAGTTACGAAACCTTAAAGCTGCGCGCGGGAGACATTCATCGTCTAGAAGTGTCTGGTTGCCGATGCTTAAGTAGTTTGGGAAGAGTTGGATGGTGTGAGTGCACAAGCAACATTAAGCTAAGCCATTGGGTATGCATTAGTGATTCTGTGAAGAACTCGTTATCACATCAGATTCAGATTAGTGGGGTTCGCTAGTCAGGAAAAGTGTTGCGCATGCCCAGTTGTCTTCTACCGCGCCGCGCTTTACTTGTAGTTGCGGCTCCAGATTGGAGATAAACAGACGACGTCAAAATGATACGAGGAAATGCATAAGGCGATTAGGTAGAGTAGGTGCCTCTCGCCCTCAATGTTGGAGTTCAAAAGCCCTTGCAACTGGTTGGTTGCATGC